CCTTCCTTCCTTCCTTCCTTCCTCCCTCCCTCCCTTCCTTCATTCCTTCCTTACAGACCCTTGTCCAAAGCCCCTCTCCAGCTTTCTTGTCTGTCCCTTTAGGCACTGGAGCTGCTCTAAGGTCTCCCCTTAAGGAGCCTTCTCTTCCCCAGGCTGAACCAGCCCAGCTCGACCAGCCTGGCTCCAGAGCAGAGCTCCTCCAGCCCCCTGAGGAATGCTCATCACTGGTCTCCACTTGGACATCAGCACATCAACTGCAGTTCTTTTGAGTGCAACCATCCAGCCAATTCCTTATCCACAGAGTGGTCCATCCATCAAATTCATGTTTCTCCAGTTTAGAGACAAGGATGTCACACAGGCAGTGTCAAATGCTTTGCACAGTTCTAGCTAGATGACATCATTTGCTCTCCCCTCATCCACCAATGCTGCAGCCCCGTCATAGGTGGCCACCAGATTTGTCAGGCGCAGTTTGCCCTGAGTGAAGCCATGTTGGCTGTCACCAGTCACGCCCTTATTGTCCGTGTGCCTTTGCATAGTTTCCAGGAGGATCTGCTCCATGATCTTGCCAGGCACCAACTGGCCAGCTTTCAGTTCCTTAGGTCTTCTTTTTCTCCTTTTAAAAATGGGGGTTATGTTTCCCCTTTCTAGTCAGCAAGAAACTTCACCAAACTGCCACAGCTTCTCAGGATGGGTAGCAGCTTAGCCACTTCATCTGCCAGTTCCCTCACAACCCATGTTTGCATGTCAACTGGTCCCAAGGACTTGCACACCTTCAGGTTCCTTATATGTTCTCGAACCTGATCTCTTACAGTAGGCAGTTCTTCATTCTCCCAGTGCCTTCTGTGACTTGGGCAGTGTGGCTGGAGCTCTGAGGCAAAAAGTCATTGAATGCCTCAGCCTTCTCCATGTCCCAGGTGACCAGGTCTCCTGTTTCCTTCTGGAGAGGGCCCAAATTTTCCATAATCTTAACTTTTATCACCGGTATTCCTACAGAAGCTTTTTGAGCTGCCCTCGACATCCCTGGCTGATTGAGTTCTGTCAGGGCTTTAGCTTTCCTAACCTGATCCCTGGCTGCTCTGACTGTTTCTCTATATTCCCCCCAGGCTGCCTGTCCCTGTTTCCACCCTCTGTAGGCCTCCTTTTTATGCTGGAATTTGTCCAGGAGCTCCTTGTTCCTCCACGCAGGCTTACTGGTGTTCCTGCTTAACTTCTTTGTCAGAACACAATGCTCCTGAGCTTGGAACACATGATCCTTGAATATCAACCAGGAGTCTTGGGCCCCCCTGCCCTCTAGGACTATATCCCATGGAACCTTATAAAGCAGGTTCCTGAAGAGGCCAAAGTCTGCTCTCTTGCAGTCCAGGGCAGTGACCTTGCTGCACGCTCTTCTCACTGCCCTGAGGATCTCAAACTCGACCATCTCATGGTCGCTACAGCCAAGGCTGCCCTGGAGCATCACATTCCCAAACAGTCCCTCTTGTGTGAGGATAAGGTCCAACATACGCCCCCCTCCTCCTTGATTCCTCTGTCACTTGGAATAGGAAGTTGTCATCAACACATTCCAGGAACCTCCTGGACTGCTTGTGCTCTGCTGTGTTGACCCTCTAACAGATATTGGGGTGGTTGAAGTCCCCCATGAGCACGAGGCTTGTGAACATGAGGCTGCACCTGTTTCTCTATTGAGGGCCTCATCCTCAGTCTTCCCGGTCGGGTAGCCTGTAGCAGACCCCTACTGTAATGTCCCTTGTCCCTGCCATCCCTTTAATCCTGAACCACAAGCTCTTGGTTGGCTCGTTATCCACCCCAGGTGTAGTTCCATGCTCTCTGAAAAATAGGATCCAATAAAACAAACATGGTACATAGGAAATAAAACAACTTTTTTTGGGGGAAAAAAGGAACAGCTCATATTTCACCTTGTAATATTTAAGAATTGCTGAAAGATTGAACATTTGAATATGCTGATCACTTGACCTGAGGAGCATGAGTACTCTTGAGTCCCTTTCCTTGCTTCACCTCCCCTTTCTCCCAATGAATAAGGCAGAAAAGGTGTTCCAAAAATAAAATCAGTGGAAATAAATAAGTTTTCACTTGATTTAGTTTAGTTGATTGTTTGAGATAATTTCTTTATAATTTCATCAGTAATGTAATAAAAAAGCCAAGATACAATATTAAATCCCTCAGGCAACGTATCTACTTAATAGGTTTTAGTTTTGCAAGACTTTAAAATAGATAGAAAACTTCCTGAACTCATTAATAAAGCTTGCTTTCTGCTCTATATTTAAATCACTCTCCCATGTCTGGAAGCTGCGATGGCTAATGTTGCTTTTGTAAAGCTAATGAGGCCAAAATGCCATTTTTAAATGTGAAAGTTTTGTCATCTGCTCTGCCTCTGAGTTGTCAGGGCCTTCAAGAAGTGATTTTGCCTTATTTATAAATAACTATGAGCTCTTAATGCTCTCAGGAATAATTATGGTTATTGAGATGTTATGACTGTAAACATGGAGATTTTACCTCCCATATGGCTTGTTTCCCTCATAAGGGACTGTTAAAAGATGAAGCCTAACCATCAAACTTTTTTCTGAGCTCAGCTAAGAGTGAGAAACTTAAAATAACAGCAAGAGTTGTGAGAAGAATATGCTCTGTCTGCATGGCTCCTCCTTTTTTCTCTTCCCTGCCTTAAGTACCCCTCTGAGGTCTCCTCAGACTTATCTTTATCAAATGGCTTTTGTGCCTGTGACACACTCTTGTCCCTCCTGCTGGGGAGCTGCCATTTCATCATGAGTACACCGCTTGTGTCAAATGTAACAAGGATGTCTGAAAAGTTTGAAATTTCCGTTCTGACTGCTGTAGGATGTACTCTGTGACATCTGTAGCCTTAGTCAAGTAGCAAACCGTTTTTAGATACATTTCTAAGCATATTTAAAGAGTAGGTAAAAACTGGCATGTTTTCAACTTTTAATACATGGGATTTATTGTTATTATTATCAGGTAGAGGTTATAACAATGTGGTTTAGTGTGGCTTGTTCTTTTAAAAATACAAGTTTTCCCAGAACATATATAATGTACTACCATCACTTTCACTAATAAAATCTTGCCATACTTGCAGTATTCTAAAACTATACTGAATAAATGCATGCATCTTCAGTTCCTCAGGAAGGTACTTAATTCTAAGCAAGAGTACTGTCTGAAATGACACTTCTGGTATAGTACCTTTCTGCCTTTGTCTCTACTTTAAGCACACTTTCATGGACTGTGTGATACTTCTTCCAGATATTTTAGAAAAGGTTAACAGAGTACAAGGAAAAAACCTCCTGTGAGAACTTAAAAGAATTTGGGAACTTGGTTTTTTACCCTTTGCAGAACAACTGTGCCACGTTAACATGTTGCATATATGTAACACAGAGTTAAATTCTCTGTGAGCAGAAGGAAAACACTCCAAGAGACACACACTCGCAATGTCTTTCAAATTGTTGTTGCATTGAGAATATAAAAGGGGAATGTCTGGCACTTCCTAAATTTGCAAGTGTTTGGGACCATTGCAAAACTGCAATCTCCACTGCAGCCTCTGGCAGTGTGGCTACTGGGGAAGGACTCCTTATGGTGCCATTCTGGCAGGTCCTGTCCTTGAAAAGCAAAGAAGTATCAGAATGAGTCAGGAAATAAAGTGTCTTAAATGTGAGTGGCAGGGTTGTAACAATAAATAAATTATCTTTCATCAACTCATAAACTGATAAAAAGATAATGGTAGTGCAATGATGAGAATTTTGCTACAGCATTTTGACTTGGTGTAGTTATGGTTTATAACTACTTTGGTCATGGTTTATAACTACTTTATATATAACACTTTATTTTGAAAAAGCCATCCTTCCTTACTCTGGAAACAGACTATTTTTATTTGCTTCCTTAATATCTGGTTAGAAGATGGGGATTGTTCTGTGTCTCATCTTTCATCTTCTGTTACAGGGGTCCTGGGGGTGGTAGACCTTGGCCAAACCCAACCAATGCCAATTCTGTAAGTAAATATTTAAAATATGTTAGACATGATCTTATATTTAAGGAAGTATTTCTCATCAGTACACCAGGAAAAAGCTTCCACTGCATTGAACAAACAGGATACTGCATGCTTTATATTCCTGTAACCCTAGTGCACCCTAGTGTAGATGTAGAGCAGGTACAGCGTGGAGCACATCTGAACAGAGTGCTCGTTGACCTGCCAATATCCAGCTGTGTGCGTAATCAACAATAACTCTGGATCTTCACATCAGTTACAGCATGTCCATAACACAAAGGTTATCCTGGGGTATATTTGAAATACATTTTTGTTTCCCTTAGTGCCACTAAGATGAATTAGGTCAGTACTATCTGGCCAGCAAGATCTATGGAAGTTATAGATTGTTAAGACACAAATCAGTGTGTGCTCACATATTTTACATAACAAAAGCACATTTTTCTGCTCTAAACCTGGGAATACAGAACCACAGAGCAATTCCTTGCAAGAAATCAGCCATTTCTCTATGGTTTTTGTAAAATGAGTGCCCTCTCTTGAATTTCATGGCAACAGCTACAAAATGAGGTAGTCTAATAACACCTTGAAGGAAGTAGAGGTCAGTGAGGCATCCCACATGGACAACAATGGTCAGGATTTTCTTAAGAAAACACAAAGGTAAAGTTTTCATTCAGTGATCATACATCATTAGTATTAAAATGTGACACTTTTTAGCACTTGCAGTTGAGTAAGAGGGGTCTGGCTTAACAGACTAGCCTGGTTCTTTCTAGCCTTGTTCTCAATTTTCATTATTTAATTCTCCTAATGACAGCTGGGGGCAGAGAGGTGATTTGAAAAAAACAGCTGAAACTCTTCCACAGTTTCTTTTGCATGTACGCAACTAAAATGGACATTAGACTAGTTGAAATTCTTTAATTCTGTGAAATTAATAGAGAAATCCAGTAATAGATGTATTTGTAAAACTGAGCTGTCTGGCAAGTTGTCTACCATCATGCAAGGTGGTTATGCTACAAAATAATTTTATATTTTGTCAGTGCAGTTGCTTAATTCTTACCCCTTATAACAGTATTGGTCCATACTCTTCTAGAAAGAATAATTGCAAAGGTCATAATGAAGAAGAAAATGGTATTATTCCTAGGCAACTGGATTTCTCCAGATATCCTCTGTAACAAATACCATAATTGAATTTGAAATGAAAATAAAATACTGTCCTTAAAAAAAAAAAAAAAAAGGTGGCAAAGAAATAAAACTAATATCTTCGAGGGTGAAAGGTAAAGAAGAGTTGTTTTTCCTTTGTGATCAAGATTTTAATCAATATTAAGTATATATAAGAACATACAAATTCAGTAATGCTCCTCTTGACTTAAATACAAGTATGTGCTGCTTGATTTTATAAACCTTATAAAGTATATTAGCTTAATAACATTATAGCTTAACCTTTAACTATAGACTGCAGGTCTTTACAGACCTTACTGTGGCTCCCACAGTAAGAATAAGAAGATGGTTGTAGTAGATGCAAGAACTGGATTAGTACTAGAACACTTGTAACCTGGTATCTTTAAAAAGTGATGCTGGCTGTTAAAAATGCATGCCTCACTTATTATGAAACAATGGAGAGCAGATATGAGACCTCGGCCTACAGACATTTAAATGTGTGAATTAATGTTATTCGTATTAATTTCATTTGAGTGGCTACCAGGGCATAGTAATCTTAAATGGAAATATTTTTATTTGAAATACTGTGTATTAAGTTGGGTTTGTGTCTGCACTGATAGTTGACTTGAACATACTTATAAGGACAAGTTGTGGAAAAAAAGAGGTGTTTTTTTGACAACAGTAACGTTTTTCCATAATCCTTAACTGTGTCTTTGAAATAAATTAAACAAATACGCATAACATACAGCTGCATATAAATGTAGGTATGGATTCCATCTCACTGCAGAGGAAATTACTGGTTTGTTTCTATTGATATTATAGATACCATACTCTTCATCATCTCCTGGGAACTATGTAGTAAGTACACTCATGTGTGTTTGCTTATTAGAATGGATGTTACATTTTATTTAGGCAAAGACACAGCTGTCCAAATGTGAAGAAGAACCCTTGTGTATTGGTTGAGAACTTGAACATCTGAACTGTGCTTGGTTTTTTTTCTGCCATTTATGGTGCATATGTTGATGTTCATTAGTAGAATCATTATAAGTCTGATCAAAATTGCCCTGAATGCTGTTTTACCTCAGCGAACATTTGTATATCCAATAAAATATATTGCCTTAATAATATGGGACAAAAAAAAAAACCCCACCAGTTTCCTCAATATCACAATATTGTGTATGAGTTTCTGAACTTTTTCAGAAAAAAATTTTGAAAAATTAGAATAAGCTTTTATCTCCCTAAAGATACACAAACATGTCCTTATAGCTCACATTTAAAAGGAAATTAATATTCTTATAATTAACTTTTAAAGACTTTAAAATCCTTTTTACCTCCATAGTCTGTCTTTATTTCACAGACATTGTTTTAACTTAGTATGGATTAGTTGGAATCGTTTTTTCTTAGTCTGTACTTAAGTTGTTAAAACTTCATAATAGGCTCAGCATAGAGCTGTCATTCAAAATAATATGAAATGCTAACCCTCTCTCTGGAATTTAAGAAGTATACTTTACCTATCAACAGAATGTTTTTTGTATAGTATATGCTACTGGTTTTTGTCTCTATCCCAAGAGATTAACTTTGTTTATCCTTGTAGGCTGTTTGTTGTTGTTGTTGTAGTGTTGTACTTGGATTATTTGTACTTCTTATATACTCTTTTAAGGCATATTGTTTCTGGTTTTATTACATGCTTAGTACTGGTGTCACAGGGTAATAATAGTCCCTCATACCCTGTGACACCAATACATATATACTTGCTATGCTAGGTTTCAGTAGACCTCTCTTTTGATATTTCATGTTTTATCACTTGAAGATTAGACAACTACAGGGCATTGCCTTTAACCAGCATAGAACCTGAAGCTATTTCAGAATGTGGAAATAGCAGGTCATTCACCATGAGGACAATATTACCAGTGTTTTTTCATCTCTTTGTGCAGCTTGTAGGTTTCTCTTATGAAGAGTTCATGGATAAGCTTGTTTTCTGTAGACAAAAGCAATTTCTTTTGTTCTTCATTCAGACAATTACATGTGAAAAGGGTTATGATTCTAGTAAGTGTCCATAACTGAGGTACTAATTTTGCCATATGTTTAGTGGAAACAGTAGAAATCCGCTGATCTCCAGACTTCTAATGCAGTATTTCATAGAATTCTCTCTATTGGGAAGAGGTTTTGTTGGTTCTGCCCTTGATATTAATGATCACTTATTGTCACAAATTTTGAAGATTTTTTTTTTTTTTTATATTTGACTTCATATTCTCTTTTTTGAAAGTATGAAATCCTGAGAAACTCGGAAAGGAGACACTACAGAATATTATTTTAAGAAGCAAACCTAAGTAAAATGCAGGTTGTAGTAGCGGACTGTTGGTGTAATCACATCAAGACAGAGGTCAGCCAGGATAAATGACTTGGACAAAAGAGGGCATCACCATATTTCAGTGTACAGACAGGAAGGAGTAAGAGTAAAGAGATGATATTACTGCTTTCAGTGACAGTGATGAGACTGATGATGGAATGTTGCATCTAACTGGCAATGATGAAGGAAAATCAAAAGATAGGCAAAGATGTAAGAATGAGACAGAGAAAAATTAAAGTATTGGAGAAAAGGCTTGAGCCTTTGACCACATGTGCTTTGTGAACTGCAGCTGTACTGGTGGGAAAGGTTGCTGCCTGATCCTTGTACCCACTGTTAAGCTAAAGGGTACCTAATACTCCTTCAGGTCTGCCACTGGAGTTCCTTTAATGAGTGACCCTCTTCATCCAAAACCAGTGAAGTTGACTGAAGTATTTAATGAACCAGGTTCTCACTGAAGCACTTCAGGGGACCCAAAATAGGTGGAGGGACACTTCCAGAGGGAGCCCCAAGCAAAGCTGAGGCTGCTGCTAGCAAGGACAGTGGTGAAGTAACTGAGAAAGGGGGTCAAGGGTTGAAATCTTCTTCTGCCAGCTTAAATGCTTGTAAAGTGCATGTCTTGTCTGATGCTGAGAGAGTAGTCTTGCTTCAGAAAGGCTCACCACATTTTGGAAAAGGAAAGCATGAACTCCAGCCCTACAAACATCTAAATAAGCAAAATGGAGGTGCAGCAGCTTCCAAGAGAGCGAGTATATGGGGACAGGGTATGGGCTGGGGAGCAGCTTTTTAGCCAAAGGATTTGAGATCTGGAACTACACACTTTGAGAGCTCAATCTGCTTAGTTTATCAGACAGGTTTTGAGAAATAATTCCATTAGATATTAATATATTCTCAGGGTGAAAATAGTTTATACCAAGAAGCTTTCTGAGAGAAGAAAACATACAAACAATGAGAATAAATGCAAATTTAACATACAAAAGTTAGTACTGATCATAAGTAACTTTTCTAATAAATGGACAGTTAGTGGTTTCTACACCTATTTATGTTATGCTGAAAAAAATATATAAACCCCCAAAAAAAGTTATTTGGCTTAGTGCCCAAGTATGTGAATAAAATGTCTGAATATCTTTGTGATGCCTGAAAGGTCTTATGTGTGATCCAAGGGTTTCTTTGGAGTCTGTAGCTCTACAACAGCAATGATGGAAATTCTTGCCGAGGGCTGAGTAGACCTTTCAGACAGTTTTGCCAGGCATGGTCCTAACACATTCATTTCTGATTTCATTCTAATTTGGGAGGGGTAAAAAGCAATGTGGCTGCTGGCAATATGAAATGAAGTTGTGATTATGCCTTGATTTTTATAAGCTGATCTGTGGGTGTTGTGGTGGAGCAAGTCTTTGTTCTAGCATGCTCTATAAGATACTTGGTGACCTTGCTTAAACCCTTCCAAAATACCTCAGTGAATTATAGCAAATCTCAGCAATGTTCTTGTAAGCAGACAAGGACAACTAAACCTTTATAGTCAGTGCCACTGAAAAAGTATTCCTGTCTGGAACAGTGTTATCTGCTATTTTAAATTATAACAAAAGAGATAAAAATAATAATAGTCATAGGGAAATGAAAACAGATTTTGCTAGCAATCTGTGTATTTTTTATAATGGAAAGTCAATATTTATTGACTTCTATTGATACGGACATTTTTACCAAACTGGAATTTGGTAGTTTTTCATATTACTTAAAAATATTAGTGGATCTCAAACAGAGAAAGAAATATGCTATGGTTCTGTTCTTTGTAAGTGATTAATATAATTTGAATAATATTATTGTAGAAATTCTTAAAGAAGCTTTAAAAGCTTGTTTAACAACCAGAGCAATTTGTGTACAACTTTTAGTCGTAAACAGACTTGTAACACAGAAATACCTGAAACTAAGAAAATAGATGTTCCTTGATGGGTTGGTTTGTTTGCTTTTTTATCTTTGAGTTAGCAGTCTAGGGAAGTAATATGACTGTATCTAGCATTATTCTGACTTTTTTGATCCATTTGTTAGTACTTTGAGAAGAAATGTTGTATATAGATGTTATTTTTTGAAATTAGGATATTATACAGACAGAATTAAGATGCCAACAGCATCAAGATAGCAAGTCTGCCTGAAAAAGGTGATTCTTAAGGTGATTGGATTCTTCTGTCACCATGGGACACCTCCATGTTTTGTGCTTAGTAAACATTACTTGCTCTACCACTGACCATGAACAGAGTACAACAAAACAGAAATGCCAGCTGAAAAAACACTGGTAATGAAAATAGGTTGAGAGAATTAAATCTAATTGTCTTAGGCCCTGTTCCAAGTGTTTCTCTCATCTGACTCACAGCATGACACAAAGTTATTGACTAATGGATATTCTTGGGTCTGTATACCTACATACATCAGAAATCTGTGCAAAAGCTTGCTGACCAATTACCTTGTCTTAAACTGTGATGAAATGTTTCACTAGCTTAACAGAAAATGTGCATGGTTTTACCAATTTAACTCATGACATTCATGATACTTTTTTGTTTTTCTTTTCATTTGTACTGTGTTCATTTTTTACTGCAGTATTCTTTTCTTTTGTGCCAACTGACATCCTCTGCTCTCTCTAGGGTCCTCCAGGGGGTGGAGGGCCACCAGGAACGCCTATCATGCCTAGTCCTGCAGGTACTGAAATGCACGCCAAAATAATAAGAAATAGTTGTAAGGGGTTTTAGGAAGCATGTGAATTATTTTTCAGACTTTGATTTTGATGAAGAATCAGCTAATGATAAGTTACTGGTTTTATACTTTCTGTATGAGTTTTTTTTTGCCTGCGCTTTCACTCTTTTTCTCTCCCTGCTCTGCTGGAGACACAAAGCATTGTATCTCTGAAGTTCAGAGTAATTAATTTCTCTGGCTTTTGATCAAAATTACAGTTTCAGCAATAGCAATTTAAAAACGAAAGAAGAGACACAGTCTTTATTTGCCTTTACTCATATTCTTTAGGACGGTTCCACCAGCTTGGAAATCAGGGGATTTCTGAGTCTGGTGAAATATGCTATGAGATAGACTTGTCCAACACACGGCTCTTGAGTGATGTGCTGCATCCTGCAGCTATGTCATCTGACTGACAGGAGGGTCGTGATGGGTAGGTTGCTCTCCTATGTCTTGCAATGGAGGAGTAAGGCCCCAGGGGAGCCATCATCATGTCCTACCAGTGATCTATTCCCAGAACTTCAACTTCCCTGCTTTTTCCCCTAAGTGAATGGTCTGTATCTTGCAGCTCGGACCACGTGGAGATTTTGGCCATGCAAAAAATTGGCCACATTCTGACCAAGGCTTGAGGAAATGAGGAGGATAGGAGGACTTGGGATGGCTAGCTAGGTTCTCAAGGTGGTCTTATTAGGTGGTCATCTAGATGTAAGTATTTCCCTCCATCACTGTTGTGCAAAGATTCTGATACGAAGGTGGAACTGCAGGATGTGAGGATGCTGTCCTCCCCCCTGGACAGAATCCTGCTAAACTGCAACATACAATTGCATCTTGTGTAACCCAGTACTCAATAGCTACTCCTTCTGGCCTGTATCTGTCTTTGTAACTCACTTTCACCAGCTAAGAGGTCCCCTGTTCACCTCAGTGATGTTACAGCATCCTCAGACCTTATATCACACATATTCTTGCTGTCCTCTACAGCACAAGAGGGTAGGGAATTTTCTTAAGTGGCTATGAAAACTTCTTTCAGCAGTGTAGTATCTTCATTAAATACAATTACAGGGCTTTAGAAAAATGCAACCTAAGATGAAGTATAGAGTTCCTTGTTCATATCATTAGTGAAAAAGATAATTAGTGCAAGCTGACATTTAAAAGTCAGAGTCCCTTTTAACATAAAACAAGGTTACGGACAGCCTGCACTTTCAAACATCCTCAGCACTGCAGTTATGGCACATATTAGGCTGTCTGCAACTCAAATGAAGCTTCTGCTGATAGTTTTTCTCATTTTCAGTCAGAGACTCTTAGATGTTTTGAGGTTCTTCTTTCTGAAGTATGAAAACACTTAGAAATTCACCACAATTTTGCAAGGGTATTTATTTACTTGTCTCTGAGACAAACCAGCTCCAAGGGTTCTCATGGCCCAACCAGCCCATATGTATTTATACATGAGCCAGCAGAACACAGGGAAATATGGGCAGGTGTGTTGCAAAAGGATCTGGTGATGGAAGAACTTTTTGCCTACCTCAATGAACTTTTTATAACTTTTTATAACTTTTTTATAACTTTTTATATGCCAATTTTACTTCGAGAATTTAAGGCTAAAAGCTTTTTGTCCCACCCCCACTTCTGCAAACAGCGTATTTAAATGTTCTAGTGATACATAGTGCTCTGTATATACTGGAATTATTTATTCACCAAGGTGAATTAATGCTTAGAAAACTGTCTGAGAAAGGTTAAAAAATAGACAAAAACATTGATTTTAACTTCCCAGAGTATATACAAATACATCCTTGCAGGAGGTCAGGCCTCATTCCCTGTTTCAACACATTTCAATGGGCTCAGCTTTCTTGCTTATACAACTTTTAACTCACAAATTCCTCCACAACCTTCTCATGGAAAAGGAATTACAGCTCAGCAGTGGATTTTAGTTTTTTTGTATTAGTAATCTCAAAACTCTGGTTCAAATAGGCGGAATGGCCTTTTGGAGGATCCGGGTGCAGAGTACTAAGCTATTCTTTATTCTTTTCGCAGATGCTATAGTGGTGCTGGTTTTTCAGAGTTCCCTGTATTTCTTTAAATCATGCTGTCCCCTTAAGGATGTATTTAGACTTTCCTTAGGTCATTCTCCTCTCAGTAAACCTTTCCATTACATGACCTGTCTCTTGTGAAGTTCCTGTGGGAAAGGTTTTGCCTAATTTGTCTACTATCATCTGCTGCAGTTTTTGCCTTCTCTTTCATGCAGATATTGATGAAAAGTGTTAAGACTTCATGTGTGTGTTAGCACTGGGGATAAGCTGGAGATCAGAATGAGTAACCTGTGTCTACTAATGGTTCTTAAGTTCAACCACACAGTTAACTGGGTTGTCTCCTGCATTTCTACTCTGGAGTTGCTCCATCTGAAAGTTCATATGCATTTATTTCAGAAGAAGGATTGAGATGCAATATAGCTGTGTCAGCATCTGGCAAGGGCAAGTGAAACTCTTGGCAGAACTTAGTTGCTTAAGCACCATCCTGTGCCAGGATGGTTTTGTTGGTTTTGGACTTAAAGAGTTTTTTTGAAGCATTGGACCACACTGTACCATTAAGATACATCAAAGCTGACCTTGGAGTCAGGATCTTTGCACAATGTTCCACTGAATGGTTAGATATATCCAAAATCAAATAGACTGAGATGGATGAGAATAAAAATTTTTCTTATGCTATCATAACTTGAAGTCTGTATAATAAGAAACTACTTAGCATTTATTACAGATGGAAAACAAATTGCAGGAAGTATTGATAAGAAACTCCTGTTCTATAGAGAGAATTAAAGATGTGTGAAGTAATTCAGAACTCCAGGAAAAAGGGGTTTATGGAATTAAATAGTTATAGATACTTGGTGATTTATAAACCTTCTAACAGTCATGCATAAAACTAGAGTCTAGACGTAGTCACTTAGAGACCATTGCAATTATTTCTTTTCATAGCTCTGTTGTGTGGTAGCAGTAGATAGAAAGAGAATGAAATCTATTATATTGTCACTGTGTATCAGTGATTCAGGCACAGAAATAATATGAACAAAATGACAGGATATGTATTAGGTGAGTAGTTTTACTGAAAGGTACATATTAGCGCTTAAAATAATCTCTTATTACAGATTCAACCAACTCTGGAGACAACATGTACACTTTAATGAATGCAGTACCACCTGGACCCAACAGACCTAATGTAAATATGAATCTAGTTATACACTTCTTTGAATTATGCAGCCTTCTTTTTCTTTTTTTTTTTTTTTAAAAAAAAATCCAAACACTACGTTTCCATACCGGTAATACTAAGTTTATCATTTTTATGGGTGACACTTCAATTGCTTCCCCCCACCATGTACTTTTTAATGTTTCCCAAATCATGTCAATACATGCAACATAAAGATTGGAGCATATTTTCTTCTACATAGAAAAGACCTTAGAAACTGTGCATGTAGATTTTGGGGATGTCTGTGGTGCAGTAGACTTTGGTGGTGGTAGGACATCATCCTGGGAGATGCCAGTAAGCATTAGTTTCAACAGGATTCAAACTTTTTTCCAAAAAAAAATATCCTTGAAAAGGGAGGAGAAAATTGCCGAGTGACCCAGTATTATGTTGCCCTGCTGTTCTGTTAAAGAGGACAAAATTAATGCCCCTGAGAAGAAACCAGCTTCCCTCTTTATCTAAATGGGATGTTAAGAATGAAACCTATTGATAACATTTAAATATTTTGCTAATGAACTAGATAACTTCTGACTATTTTAGCCTAAATTTCAGCAATTCTAGTGCTTACAAAAATCTGGATTCTCAGGTAGAACTTGAATCTTTTTTGATCTTTCTGTATGGCTTCAGTTTGATTGTATTTCTCTTGATTACAACCATATTTCATTTAGTCATGATCCACATGATGAGTTCTTTGAAGAAGAAAAAAAAAACAGTCAGTAGAAACTAAAAATACAGCTATTTAGATATTGCTGAATCATAATGCAACGTATTCTATTTTATTTTCTATAATGTTAATGTCATTAAGTACTTGAAGAACAGAATTTAAGATTAATATCTGAAATTGGCCAGAAACTCCACAAAGGTAATGCAGAGTAGTCCAGCTGTCAGCACGTATAAGGTGGGGCTTGAAAACTGTTAATTAATCACTTAGTTCATTGAAGGGAATCATAAAAGTTTCCTGTAACCCCTATGAGAGTAGAGTTAGGTTAGCACTAGCAGGTTTGAAAGTAATACCCAAGGTGTTGAAGTAAATAATAAATTATTCCTAAGTTATATTCCAGCCTACAGAGAGGTGATAGTTTTATGAAGGTATCATTAGAAAAAGTGAAAAAAAGCAATAATGTTTTTGCAGTCTTCACGTGAAATACTTTAATGTGACTTGTGCATTCAGACATAAGACTGTGCATTTTTCTTTTACTTCCCCCCCCCCCCGACAAATATTTTCTTTTTATTAGATTATCTACAAAAAATTGTACAGTAATACCAGTTTTTAATGTCTGGTCGTTTTATAGTTTCCAATGGGGCCAGGGTCAGATGGACCTATGAGTGGACTGGGTGGAATGGATTCACATCATATGAATGGATCACTAGGTAATGATAGTAAATATTACATGCATTGCGAATTTTATATGACTAGTGCCATTTTCTGTGACTTGTTCTCTCAATTATGTGGAAGACTGTATGTAAAAATCTTTTAAAACCTTTTTTAAAACCTTTTTTAAAAGCTGAATATACATCAATCAGAAGTATTAAGATACTCTTTTAATGAGTTGGCACCTCTGGAAGAAAAATACTGTGTTTTATTTATATCAGAGAGTATAGTTTTGATGCACTTAATGAAAAGCAGTCTGAAATCATACCATCACAGTAACTTAGATGTGAAGGCTTAAGAACTGGTTTTATTTACCTCTATTCCTCTTTGAAAATCTTGGGGAGGTGTCATTGTGAAATGCTGATGCACGTTCTTATCAATTACCTGGAAGTAAGTTACTACATATTTTGATGTATGTGTTAAGATGGTTTTATTCCAACATTTAGATATCCTCATTTGTTCCATACTTAGCCATATGTCTGTTAAGTGTGAGGATTATTACTCTGTACCCACTAACAGCTTCAGACAGTTGCAAATTTTAATGCATCCAAAAGAACATGAGTTCTGGTCAGGGCATGCAGAAGCAGGGGGAACTGCTCGGCTTTTGGCACTGTGATTTTTGAAGGACTTGTATCTAGGGGAGAAGCCTTGCACAGCTGTGCAAAATATACATTGTTTTCTCTCCTAACTATCCTAGCAAACTCTTTGCTGGAAGCATGATAGATGTTTGAAAGGGATTTTAAGAAGCAGGCTACAGCTAAATAAATTGCACTTACGCCTTCCTCTTCCATGCCTGCAAGGTAAATAAATACTTTGGTTTTATTTCTTCTCATACCCTAGCACCAGGCTACTAGCTCTGAATAGAGTCCTTGTGTTGTACTCTTCACTTCCGTCTGCACCAAGGGGTGCCAGTCATGCAGGCAACAGGGTGGAACTTCAGGCTGTAAAGATCTTTAGATTTTCTTCTTTTATCCCCCTGGATCACCTGCAAGGTTCTCGTGTGCCTCCCACAAGGGGCACCAGCAAAACCCTGCTGAGCAGTGTTTATCTGTATGGGGAGAAACCCAGGCAAGCTAAACAGAGGTTAGGCAGGCAGAAGCCAAGCTGCTTGCTGTTATCCCCAAAGAAAAGCTTTGTCACCTTCCCAGCACAGACATGGACCCACCCAAACTCCACATGGTGTAAGTCCATACTACCATGGTAGGTGGAGATGTCACTCACAGCCCAAAAGCTGGAGGTTATGAGACAGGAAATACAAACTGGTAGGACAAAGGGAGAAATCTGAAGAGGCTATGGCAGGATGAGAAAAAAACAGCCATCAAACCTTATTTATCAGACATGTTCTGAACAATTAAAATTCAGCAGTATGCGTCTGTCTCCTAATAGAATTCTTTTTTTTTTTCTAGGAAAGCATGTCCCCGAAATTCCTAGATTAATTTGCATAAGGACACCTGGTGATTTTACAGCCTTTTTTTATATATTACAATCCTAACATTGGTTGTTGCTTTAATTAATAATGATGCATGTTACATTCAAAGAAATTAAAAAATGTGTAAAAGGTAATAGCATCTTTTTCTGTCACATTGTACAGCCTGAGAATTATTTCTTGGCTAAAAGAAAATAAATTGAAACACTTACAGAAGGATTTTACATGCATCTAAGCATTTTAGTTATTTTCTCTAGGG